CATCCCTTTTCATTTAAAAGAGTATGCTGGACCTTGGTTGAAAATATTACCGATATAAACAAATGCCAGAGTTGATGGATGGTTCTATTGCCAATAACCAATGAAAAATACCTTAGCATTTTTCCTTAGTTTGGCAAAGTCCTCTTCCTTGATTAAAGCTGGCAACTAACAGGGATAAAAGGACATCTGAAATATTGTATCTGATAGATCTTTTGATGAAATGTGTTCCCCAAAGGCTTGAATCCCACCCTTTTCTGTAGGAACTGTGACTCCTTAGAAGGATTGACTGATTTTAGAAGAGATTGTAAGACGCCTACTCCTAGTACACTGATGATTGAACAGATCTGGAAACAATGCCTGAGTCATCCGAGCTTACAGCTCAGCATGTTGAGGAAATTTGAATTTGGTGCCCGTTTGCCGTAAACCATTATCAACAAAAGTAACACAGGAGCTGCTTAAGAAGAAGCATAGACATCTGTGCGATGGAGGAGGAGCTGACAGCTAAATGCAGTAACTGGATGTCTTCCCCTAGGGCCGGTCAACCTCACTGTGAATCAGAACGCTACAGCAAAGTTGCTGGTTTGGTTTTGTACTATCTGTGGAGGCCTAAGATTCAAAGGTACAGTGCATCACGCTGTGAGAACATTTCCTCTAGCCTGAAAATTACAATCTGCACCATTACAAAAAAAGGTATCAAAATGCTAATCTTTCATTGCCTCAGACTAATTTTCTTCTTAAGGATTGGAAGACTATTTGCATATGCATTGATTAAATGGAATGCATTTGTTGTTTCAGATGCATTCATAGTGCATTGTTATAATTTAATCTAGGCTGTGCAGGGTCCTGGGGAGAAGCAACCAAGTGCAATATATATCTGCATCATTAGAAATAATTTAAGTGTAATGACAACTGGAAAATAACCGTAAAGTGATTTCAAGGTGTTCCATATTTATTCCCTGGTAATGATAAATCGTTGTTGGTTTTCTCAGTCTGCAAGTCAGTCAAAAGACAGGTTTTTAACATTTCAGCCTTCAGTCTGGGCTCTGTAAATCAAGTAAATTGTGCAGACACCTGCCTAACATTTAGTCCTTGTTACTACAAATTCAAGCTTCTCACATTCATTCGTTCATTTAATCCCCAAAAGTCCCCTTAAATTAGGTAAATATTATCTCTATATTATGGATGGAGAACTGAAGTGTAAGGCAGGCTGAAAGTAATTTTACAGAAAGTAGCTTTAAAGAGACGGCTTTTAGACAATCTGCAAGTCTTAATCTCAGAAGTTTGTTGAAAATTTTTGATGTTACTCTAGGTGATTTCTTCATTGATAAACTGCGTCTGACTGAATTGACCATGTCTTCTGGGATCAAGCATGATTTAGTATCCTTAGTAACACAGGGAGTTAACATGTACAATGGCAAAACACCATTTTTATATTAACAGAGAATTTTAAGTAGTTTTTTTTAAAAAACATCATCCTGTTGTGATATTTGAGGATTGTGACAGGAGGTGTAATGGCTAAGATTATAGGTTTATCAATCACACATAATCCATAAGTATTTTATGAACTATACACAGGGATCACTCAGTTTGCTACTGGAAAACAACCACATGTGAGCTGGAAGGCAGCTGCTGTTGGACAGCTCAGCGTGCTATTATAAGACAGTTAAGAGGGGAAAGTAAAGGAGTTCTCTTTCCCATGCCAAATACTCTTGTGGCTAAAATCTAGCTACCTACTGAAGTACAGTGGCAACTTAAAGAAGGCCATGTTGGAGAAAGAAAACTGAAAGTCATATTATTAAGGAAAGAGATGTAAAAATGAGATTACCACATTCTTACTCCATTTAGTATGTACCTTTCCCTGGTCCTCAGTGTAATTAAGCCCTCATTTGAGCTATCAAAAATCAATGTACAAAATATAGCTGCTAAACTCTCCATCAGTTTCTGTACGCCCATGTGCACCGGCCCTTTCATTCTTTCCTTCTGACATAAGACAAAGTTGAAGTACGAACCAGATAAAGCCAAATGGAAATACAGGAACTATGCAGTAGGATTATTCTAGAACTTTTACATAAACTGGCTGATCAGACAGCTCTGCAGTACTGTTTTCTGCATGGACCATTTTTCTGGTAAAAGAGTAGTTAAGTCTTGTCCCACAAAACCAAGACTTTACAGTTATTTGGAGGTGGGTAAATAAGGGACTTGAAGACCAAGGTCAAGACTGCATCTTGATCATCTCAAAGGCTGAACTCCAGGACCTGATCGGAAAAATAATTCACAAGAATTGGCTGTCCTAAATACGTTGTTTTGGTCATTCTCTGAATGCCACCACTAGTTTGATCAATTACATGGAAAGACAGTGATAAAAACTTGGTAAACCCATCAGACTGTTCGATAAATGCAATTATTATTGTGCAATACAGGAGGCTACAAGAACAAAATAAACAAATGATGTATATCCCAGTGGTCTTGCAGATAGTGCAGCTGTGATGTTTGCCAACTAAATAATCATTGGGGAAAAGATTATAAAGCATTGATTTATCTGCAAGCAAGAGTACTGCCCAGAATTTTGTTTATCAGGAATCCTCCTGATCAATCACTCCTGATTCAATCAAATGCTAGAAAACACACTTTTGATCCCCTGTCAAGGTAACTTACTGTATTAGATGCTTCCCAAAATATCAAGAGAATTACATATGTATGAGTCTTCAGGAAAGCTTTTGAAGGAAGGATACTAATGTTCTTGTTCTTGAAAGAATATCCTCATATTGTCACAAGGTATTAGCGATATTGTCGTTTTTCTTTCCCGGCTATGGAGTTTTGTGGGCATTGCTCATCTTCAGCCATTCATCAGCGTCTGTTAGGGCTCTTCAACTTGTGTTTGCCATCCTTGAAATGCTCTAATCATTGCACTGAATTCCTGTGGCAGAAGTCTGACAGCAGTCACTTTTTCAGGTCAGGATGCGGTTTGCTGTGGGGCTGACACGTGGGCAATGGGGCAGAGAAGCAATTGTTGCAGTGGACCTTTGCTAACCTCTCTGGTCAGTGGGAATACTCAAGGTCATTATGCTGGATTTTGGGCAATTTTGAGAAGCTCCCTTCCTGTACCAGCATGTAGGATTGTGCCTTGAACTTAATGGTAATTCACAATTGTTGTGCTTTATTGCATTTCCTTTGGGTTGCTGTGGAGTCCACCGTTGACTGAGTATTGGTATTTCTTAATATATGAACTGAATTTCATAGCTTAAGGAAGCCAGAGCCTGTGTATTAGAACAACTTTCTTTCCTTGTCTTCTCTCTTTTATAAACGTAGAATTCAGGAATGTGAGAAAAGTGACAAAGGAAACGACTTCAAGGTGTAAATCTTGATTTCTGAAAGTTTGGGTTAAAGTTTACTTGCTGCTTAGGAACAAATGCATTTTCTGTTAGCAGTGGAAAATACTCTCACCTCGATCTAGACCAGAACATCATAGATGTGAAACAACAACTAAGTCAAATCTTTTTGAATGATCTCCCTATTGAAACCTGGTTGAAACGATTATTTGCTGTGAAATAGATTTGACTAAATAGTACTCAGTTACCGTATAGTGAGATTGAGCCTGTTGTCTCACTGAAACAAGGACTGTTATGGCCAAAGACTCTGTGTGGCTGGTATGTAAATCACTGTGGATGCAGCTGAAATGTAGGAAACAATAATAAGTGCTTCCTGGATTTGAATTTTTCTTTTTGACAATCTTTCAGTAGTAACATGGCAGGATTTAATCATTGTCAATTACAGGTCTTAATTAAATGCTAGTAAGCACTTATAACTAATAGTAGAATGGAAATAGCTACCTGATGATTTAAGATTTAAGGGCTGTTTGTAGGAGTAACTGCTCCTGAATAAACATAAAACTTTTCTTACTTGTCTCTGAGATGAAAATTGGAAAAGACCATAAGAAATGCATGGCAGACGCTTTAATTTTGAGGATCTTGCTTTTGTTGTAGATTGCAAACATTATTAACTTCAGAAGAATTAAGCCAAAGTTGTATGTTCAGCTGCAGGGATATTTTGTGTAGTTTGTGGATTGCATGTTCAAAATACAAGTTCATGCAAACAAAAAAATAAAATAGATCACCAATAATTTGTGCATGTAAATAATCCATTGTAGATACCATCAGTTTATTTGCATGTGCAAATTAAAAATCCTTATTTGAAAACAAACTTCTTAATATTCAGTTTTTATATGTGTCAAAATCTGTGGAGACATACAATAGTTTTATGATAATTAAGAATGGGAAAACCATAGAAGTCTTGAAGCTTGATTTAGATAAGTACCAGAAATATGGATGTTTATCCATCCTACACATATCTCCTGAGTTTTCTTGCAAAATTTCTGGTTCTTCAGGCCTTGAGGGAAGCTAGACATGTGTTGTAATTCTGCATTTGGTTCCCATTAGACTCCACAAGAGCAGAGAAAAATGAGAAAATTACTCATTCATTTTTGAATTTCCTCACAGAAGGGTAGTTTAAGTTGGGTTTTTTTTCTGTCTACTTTCCTCATTATAATGGTAGCTATAAATCTGGAAGAGTGCTATGTGTTTGACTTATTACTAAAGTAATTCAGATTTGAATCATGTGAATCTTTTAGTCTCCCTTTTTTTTTGTGCAAATTTCATGAATCTTCAGAGTTTTCTTATTCTAATCTGTGATGTTAGTAAGCTTCTACTGCAAGCTTAATGAGGGATGCCTTGGAGACTTGTGCTACTAATTATGCTCTGAATTTTTTCTCAGGCCATCTGGCTTTTTGTGGTAGGTTAAGAACTTGATCCCCAGCATCAAACATTACCAACTCAAATGTAATGAAATAAGAAGATGCTTACTGCATGACATGAAAAGGCTGCGCTTAGCAGTGTTCGTATGATCATGCTAAGCAGGCTTGGAGCTGGAACTGCCGCTGAACTAGGCACTTTCCTTGTTAAGATGTTTTGATCAATCCCACTGCAATGTTTTCTCAATGCTAGAATTCTGCCAAACATCTGGCTGGGAAGTTGCCCTCGGCAGCTGGAGCATGTGACCGTCAAGCTGAAGCATGAGCTGGGTGTTACGGCTGTGATGAACTTCCAGACCGAGTGGGATATTGTTCAGAACTCCTGGGGCTGCAACCGCTACCCGGAACCCATGAGCCCCGAAATCCTCATGAAACTGTATAAAGAGGAAGGTCTTGCCTATGTCTGGATGCCAACCCCAGACATGAGCACTGAAGGTAATGCTCAGGCCACATTTGCAGTAAATTTATAGTAACAAACCCTTTGAGTTTGTCACTTTTTTGACTTGTTTGGTCACTTTTGTGACCAGCGGTCTTTTTCTCTGTGTAAATTTTGCATAAAAATGTACTTAACACACAAGGTATAATTTCTCTGCATGTTGGCTCTAACAAATTATGCATATTTTCTTGTAGGCAGAGAGGCCATCTAAGGTACTTTGTGTCTGGCAGTATATGTGTATTTGAGTTTAAAGCCGTCTGACGTTGATAACTGCTTGACTGTTTTTCCTTTCAGCTTGAATTCAGCCCGTATAATGAAAATATGCTGTGTAGGTGGAAGACTGCAAGCTTGCACGGCAGGACAGCTTGCCATCTTTGCTGGTTAAAAATGGAGAGACAGTGCTGTATTTCCGTCTCTGCTATCCCCTTCCCCCAACATATAGCTTTTCTTTAACTATAGTATCCCAGTCTGATGAACCTCCATAGTGTCATTTATATAATTATTTATTATTAATTTAGAATACCCATACCACCTGATGTTGTAACATAAATTATTATTATTTTTAATTCCTCCATTGGAATGCTCAGATCAGAATCTTGTTTCCAACCAGTAGGTTAGAAATTGTGCGTGTTTTCAAGTGAGTAGCTCACCAGCAGAAGACAGTGCTTTCAACAGAATGAAATACTGTTGCCACAAATAGAGAACTGTCATATCAGTAACAGGACATCATCAGAGAAGACAGGAGGCCCTTAAAACAGAGATTTGAAAGGGCTTAATGTCAGTGCTCATCTGTTCCATGGGGAAAAGTTGGGCTCTGATCTTTGCAGCTTCAGTTCCCGGGGTAACAGGGAGAAAGGTGTCAGGAAATATGGTATATTCATCGCTTTGGGAGTGAGAAAGGCTATTCTGTGTTGTTTAGCCATATGCTTAGTACACAATTAAATCTTAACAGTATTAAGTTGTACTGGAAAATACTCTTCTGTTCTCCCTCCCTCACTTCTTATTGATATAATGGCTTTCATTACAATGTTTTGGAAAGCAGCAATATGTAGGTAGCTTCACAAACCTCTGGTACTAAAAAAACATTTCATTTTTGGCTTGCTAATTTTAATTCCGTGTATGATGTGCCGTTTGATGTAATTTGCTGCCTTGTTTCAGTCTCTGTGAAAACGAATATGCCATACATATCCAATGTTAATAAGAATGTATATTTAGAGAAGACTTAGAGCATTTTATGTATTTTGTGTGATCTGAATCTGTGTTGCAAGAAAAAACAAGGTTAGAGTGGAAGGTCATTTGGAAAAAAAAAAAACAAAAAACCAAAAAACCCAAATATGTCAGATTTGCCATTGTGATTCACAGTTCATCAAACTGTGCAGACATAATCTCAACTGTGAACGTACCTTTCTCAAATGCAAATGAACGTGCCTTGTTTTTAACCTTAGGAAGAATACAGATGTTGCCGCAAGCTGTCTGCCTCTTGCACGGGCTACTGGAGAATGGACACACTGTCTACGTTCATTGCAACGCTGGCGTTGGCAGGTCTACAGCTGCTGTCAGTGGCTGGCTGAAGTATGTGATGGGATGGAGCCTGCGGAAAGTGCAGTACTTTTTGGCTTCCCGGAGACCAGCTGTCTACATAGACGAGGAAGCGCTGAATCGTGCTGAAGATGATTTCTACCAGAAATTTGGGCATCTGCGTTCCTCATGCAAAATACAAGAGTAGAAAAGCAGGAGAGGAGAAGGAAGGTGAAGAGGAATGCTTACATTTGAACCCCAAGGACTTGAAAGTTCTGAGTCAGACGCCTGCCTCTCCTCTTCACATTATAAACTTGTCATAAAAGTGATGAGAATTCTGTTAAAAAAGTGCCTTTGAGGGTTTTTTATTTGCATTCTTTAAGGTGATATGATTCATATTTTCAAGCATTTTGCTGCAAGTATGAGACCTAGAAACTCTGCAAAGGGAAACTGAGGTTTTATTTTGACTACTTGCCTACAGGAACTGAGGTTTTAGGGTAGACACTAAATATGACGCGAGATGAGATAGAGTTGGCAATATTTCAGTGACAAGAAAGAGAAGGCATTCTCAGGAAAACATACAAAGATTGACTGGATTAAGGTTCAGGTTAGGATGGAACTGATCATTGTCAAAGCTGCTCAGTTATTTTAGGTGAAAGGTATGTTATTGCAGTGTTTTCTAGTAATTTTGTAGACAAGTGCCGTTAATGAGAAAGACGGGAAGGAAACTGATTTTTCGACTCAGTTTCTTAAACAAAAAGCTAATGTCTGAAGCAGTGAACTAAAATAAACTCTCTTTGCCTATCTAGTTAATGTTAAATATTAATGAGTTATATCTATGTTCTTTTATGACATTGAGGTTATGCTGGGATGTGGCATGAAAAGGGGAATCAGCTCCACTTCCTGCGGTTTTTCTCCGTCGCGAGGAAGGACTACTATTTATTACATTATCCTAGCCTGTGAGATCTCTAAGTGAAAGATACATTTTGCTCTTCTGGTCCATGTCGTGCTGTACAGTGGGCTCCTCAGGTACTAAGTCAAAATAAGCAGTAACCACTGGGCTACAACAGGACCTAAAGGAACTGCGCGATAAGCTTCTGCGCATGATTGTCACCACAGTCTCTGTGATTAATTTCTTCACTATAGCAAAAGTCTCTCCTTGTGCAAGCAGTGTGTGGATGTTCACAGACGCTAGGAAGCAATGCTGGGCTGTCTCTGGGGTGAGTGAAGTGAGTGCATTCCTCTATAGGAGCAAAGAGCAACTCTGAGGAAGGTTTCTCAGGAGCTTAGCCTCAGTAGGCTAATGCTGGCTTTGTGGGTGATCCCCAGTGTTTTCCAGTGCTCTTAGTCCCTTAGCGAAAGTAAGCAGTGGCACCAACAGCTTCCAGCCCTGCTCAGGTAAAACCAATTTGCTGTAGGTTAAGTCCAAGAGAGAAGGGAGAGAAAGCATTTCCTAAGGAAGAGAAGATTCAGGATGCATAAGCATTAAGAAACCTGATTTCTATAGGTTTATTCTTCAGTGAAATCTCATTTTTTCTAGCCAACTTGTTCCTCTAAAGACCCAGTCAGTGCCAGACTAGTTCAACTGATATATATTGATTATCTTAAAACTTAATGGAGAAACTATTAGATATGAACTGTTTCTGGAGAATGTCCAGAACAAAATAGTTCATTTTATTTATCCTATCCTTCAATCATGTTCAAATGGAAAAATGTTTATTTAATTTATTCTGTATGTGTGGTTTTGATCATTACTTTGTTTCTGATTTTTTGAAATAACACTGCCTGTTTAGAAAATGGATGAGAAAAGTTCTCTATTAAATAAAAACATAATGGCAATTCCAGCAGCCCATTTTGTCATATGTCTTTGGCTTCCAATTTTGTGAGTAGCAAAAGGGGTCGTAACTGATATTTCTATGTAAAGGTAGGACCAGCCACTTTAATGGTAACAGCCCATTTCTTGTCTGCTGTGCTGTGTCAGTTTTGATGGGCTGTTGAGGAGGAAATCTCAAAAGACAGCACAGCAAAGGTGTGTGGATGATACGGCACCTCTGGTACCTCCAAAGGCAAAAAAAGTGGTTTCTTCTCCCATCCTGATGCAGAGAGCAGAGGGAGTGTGTCAGTCCTGCTGTTGGGCTCTCATGCAGATGTGCAGAGCTGTGGCTGAGCACCCAGGAGTTGCCATGTTTTGACTGAGTTTAAAGTAAAAATGGTGAGCTTTTGCTACCGTGTGCCTCTCAAAATCAAGTGCTGAGAGGAGGAGGATGGCGTAAGAAGTAGAGAATAGAAATCACTGAAGTTTTGTGTTTCAGTTGAGATGCATTTGGAACCCCAAGCTTAAAATGTGTTTCTAAGCATCCCCAACAGACCGTCCTTTCCATCAGATGCAGCTTGTCATATATGTTGGGACAAGTACTTGTGGCTTTGGTGCTAGTTTCACAGCTAACTGTATTTCTCTTTCAAGGGCTCTTGGGACTGCACAGTGAGTAACATGGCACAAATAAGTAAATGTGTGACTAAGTAAGTATAGCCATGCTGTATCAGCTGTTTCCCAATTCTGGTTTTATTGGCAATGAAAGCAGACTGGTTCTTCATTTGTAGGGCAGGAATTCAAACGATACAGAAACCACAGCTTCAGGGAAGCTATAGCTAGGGGTTGTTAATTTGTTGTTTATTATCATTTCAGCAAGGGGTTGTTGATTCGTTGCTTATTGTCATTTTGATTTGCTTGTCTGCTGAACTGCTGAGGGACTATATCATATACAGATTACATTAGCCAATGAACTGCATGAAAACAACTTGCCAACATCATGTTAACAAAGAACGCAAAGAGATCCCGTGACTTGCAGTCCCTTTGTACCTATTTGTAGCATACTTTTTTCCTCATTGCCACCTTCCTGTCTTCCTCGTTGAAGGCCACTCTGTCGAGTAACGTTTGTTCAAGACCTTGTCTGTTGAATGAAATTTAAAGGAATTTACATGCTAAAGAGATCATTGCAAGAGGCTACAGCAACAAAAAAAAAAGTAATTGTATAAAAATATTCCACTTCTCTAGCTGTATAAATACCTGATAAATCTGCATCTAGAGATTATCTATTAGAATTCCAATTTGTAATATGTTCTTATGCTGACTGGATCATCAGTTCTTTCCACAGACTAGCCTCTTGATGCAATTTGGGTGAAAGGACGAAGACAGTCTGTTGTTTATATACTTGTATATGTCCTTGCTACTTTAGTCATGAAAGTGCTACAAAATTTTGAGAACAACTCCTGTAGAAAGAATTAGAAACAGATAAACAGGAATGGTTATTTTGAAGTGGGCCCCAGAAGCCAAACTAATACACACACAATAATGGGAACCAGGCAGAAATATTTTGGTAACTCATCACTGAAAAACATCATTCGGGGAAAATGGTTTTCGGCTGGTATGAGCATCAGTATTCTCTGCCCTGTTGCAGCCAGGTTTTTACCTCTGTTAAGTTAAAGAAAGTAGAATTTGCTGCATGAAATGAGAATATTTATAACTCCAGGTACTTAGAGTATCTTAACACCATTTTAGGCCAAACAACAGTATATATTCTTTCCCAGGGCTATGTACGTGAAGCAGCTAAGCAGTCCTAGCTCTTACAAGTGATTTTGTAACAAACATAGCCCCTTAAAGGATGGGTCAGGCTTTGAGGGGTATAGTTTCATGAATATTGTTCCTTTTGACATCAGAAAGGTACTAATAAGAATTTCTGCATGAAATTTTTAGGTAGGCAGTGCAGTCTGGTGAAAGGGTACTGGGCTGGCTGGCACGACTGTTGAATACCTTCTGTCCTCCCTTACTCCTTACTTATTTCATACTTTGAATTTTGGTCTTTTGGGCACTTGTCTGCTCCAGTTGCTTAGGTTGTAAGTTTATGGTCTTCCTTCCATTTGTACAGCACCAAACATGGCAAAGCTCTGGATGTCGCCGCAGCTGCGGGTTTTATGCCAGGTTGTACTCTGGAGTAGTGGGAAAGTCTCACACTTGGCAGCCAAGTTGCGTGTGCTACACAAAAACCTGTGCAAAACAGTTGCACTGAGATTGAATTAAAATTTGAAACTGCCAGCCAAGCATGAAGATGAAGGAAAAATATAGGCTGTAGGTTGTGCAGGAGCAGGTAATGAAATCCCTGTTTAAAACAAGAAGGTAAGAAGTCAAACTTACTCCATTACCTACTATGATGGCCTTTTGAGCTCGAAGTTATAAACCCATTGACTTTACTGGTCTGTAATTGAGAAAAAAATTTGATTTGAAGTACTCAAAGACATTTGCCATAACTGTGTTACTCTGTTACTTCTTTCATTCTTCATCATTAAATTGCAGTGAGAGGTTTAAAATCAATGATACAGTTTAAAAAAATAACAATATGATTCTTTAAAAAAAACACACTGAGACTGTGCAACAGGAAACTATGAAGGAATACTTAGAAGCATAATAACTACCACAAAAACATATATTTGGGAAGCAAGCCCTACCTTCTTGAAGGATAATGAACATCAGCCTGCCTTTAGCTAAAATGGAATTGGATTAATCTAGCAGAGGACAGGATATAGATTACTATCTCCAGCTCTAACTGCTTACATTCCCAGTGGTAAATCAACACCTCTGCAGTCATTTCTTTGAAAATATTCTACTGGAAAAAATAGTGTTTTATTTTCCACATGTATATAGCTTAAAGGGAAAGGGACTGCTCTGAGGGAGCAGACTTTGGAACGGTGGAAGTATAAAGGAATTAATCCTTTTTCTGGTGCTTAGCAACACAATGACATCACCAAAGCAAGACCAAACCATATGACTTCATAATTGATCATCTTCCTAAATTAACAGAGGAAAGCAATTTTTTCAATGGCAATGACGTTACCATATATTAGCATAATTGCATGATTGTGATATAAGCAACCAAAATACATGTTGTTGGCCCTTCAGTTTCACTGTTCATTCTTAATTAGATGTATTTTCCTCTTGCTCCACCTTTTCACCTCAAGATCCTTCATTCCAGTCTTGACTGGTTTAGAAATGGTTTTGTGGCTAAAAATTGCCATATTTGTAAAGATGAGTAATAAATATTTTCTTAAACCTTTTTTACATATCAAAGCTTGGCTGGGGATAGGGAAGTAAGAACTGTTACACCCTGTAAACCAAGGATGGTGACACTGTGAACCTTAGCCCTATATAATTCAATCTTTTTGTTCTTAAACATGTTGTCTTCTTTGGAAGATAGAATTTATAAAGATGGCAGGATAATGTCTATTATTTGATAATTACTTCAAAGCTGATGTTGTTAAATTTACATCAAGGAAAATAGAAGGCCTGTTTATTCAGGAGCTGGTAAAATATTAAGTGATATCTCATTCTTGATTTAGATGATGTGAGGAAAAGCGTATAACAGCTGCCAAGAAAAAATTTCTATGCTGGGCAGGTTTTTGTGGTCTTTACTTAATGTCATTATAACAAAGTTTGTTTTGTGGTAATGCAGTTTCAGCAGGGAAATAATTAACAGTCAGGCCATCATCCAAGGGTAGCAGCCAT